ATTATTGTTTTTTTGTATTTATTTATGGTGCCTTGTTGCACATTAAATGCTTTTTCCAAAACCCTTTAAAAATTGTACTGACCTCTGAGTTTCAAATAACAAATAATAATACATAGTGATTCATTTAACTCTTATGATTTAAATTAAATATGATTATCATTTGTTAAATGTGATATTATGTCTGTCGTTATATTCTGAGAGTAACGATGATACTGATAAGCTAAAAACTGTTTTGTGTTGCTAATAATTATATTATGGTCATAAACAGAACTATTTCTGACCCAGTTTTTCTTTCTCCATAGTAACTGAATTCATTGGTGAGGACATCAGATCCTTTCAGATGGGGTCACACATGGACAGTCGACCTGGATGACAACATCTCTATAATAGTCCAGTTTTAATCAGTGTATTGTTAATATCATATCAACGCTTTATGTATAATTTTTTATTTGAATTATGGTGTATTGCTAAAACATGGCAATAATAAAGACAGTGCTACTTAAGTGGTAAATCTGTGGTAAAACAGAAAGCAGGAGCACAGTTGTATGTACAGTATGTATGTAACGTTTACTGCTTCCTGGCTGCATATTTGAATGGAACTAATGTTTTTAATCTGTAAAATAAATTATCGTTATATTATTTATATGTTTTGATCCTTTAATATGTTAATTCATGGGGTAATTAGCAATTTAATGGGTCTGTAATGTAAGTATTAGTTTATTTTATCTGGGTTTATCATGTTTTCCTCTTCTATTTGTGGGATCACTAAGCATGTTCTTTGTACACAGTGTCTTGGACTTTAAATAAGACTTCTTCCCTTCCCCCATACAGGAAATATTACAGGCAGCATCTAAATATTTGTGAAGCCTGAATATAAAAATGTATAATCACTAACACAAGCTTATGTTTATGACAGAAGACTATACCGACGATTGTGACTAGTTTATTTAGGTTATGGCTTGTTGATGAGGTGTAAATGAGGTATATACAATCACCACCCACTTTATTAGGTACACCTTACTAGTACCAGGTTGGGGACCCCCTTTTGCCTTTAGAAATTAATCCTTTGTGGCATAGATTCAACAAGATACTGGAAATATTTCTCAGAGATTTTGGTCCATATTGATATGACAGCATCACACAGTCGCTGCAGATTTGTCGGCTGCACATCCAGGATGTGAATCTCCCGTTCAACCACATCCTCCAAGTTGCTCAATTGGATTGAGTTCTGGTGACTGTGGAGGCCATTTAAGTACAGTGACATCATTGTCATATTCAAGAAACCAGTCTGAGATGATTCCCTCTTTATGACATGGTGCGTTATCCTGCTGGAAGTAGCCAGCCTTAGTTGGGTGTGGTCATAACAGGATGAACATGGTCAGCAACAATACTCATAGGCTGATGCGCACCTACCCTACCCTACCAACTGAATTTTGCAGAAGAAATCGAGACTCATCAGACCAGGCAACGTTTTTCTAATCTTCTATAGTTCAATGTGAATTGTAGCTTCAGTTTCCTGTTCTTATCTGACAGGAGTGACACCCGGTGTGTCTTCTGCTGCTGTAGCCCATCCGCCCCAAGATTGGACGTGTTGTGTTCAAAGATGCTCTTTTGCATACCCTAGTTGTAACGAGTGGTTATTTGAGTTACTGTGGACTTTCTAACAGCTTGACCAGTCTGGCCATTCTCCTGCATCCTCTGGCATCAACAAGGCATTTGCGCCCACAGAACCGAGGCTCACTGGATATTTTCTTTTTTTCTGACTATTCTCTGTAAACCCTAGAGATGGTTGTGCATGAAAATCCCAGTAGATCAGCAGATTCTGAAATACTCCGACCAACAAGCAAGCCACATTTAAAGCAACTAAAATCACCTTTCTTCTTCATTCTGATGCTCGGTTTGAACTGCAGCAGATTGCTTTGACCGTGTCTACAAGCCTAAATGCATTGTGTTCTACCATGTGATTGGCTGATTAGAAATGTGCGTAAACGAGCAGTGGAACAGGTGTACCTAATAAATTGGCCGGTGAGTATATGGCACATTTTCGGATGACAAGAGGAAATCTGCCCCCTAGTGGGCATGTTTTTACCTAAATTATAATTTTAATGTTTTTTAAGTAATAAAAAGACGATCCACAATATTTTTTTTCTGCAATTAGTCATATGCTAAACTAGGTTGTTTACAATGTATTTTAGACCTATAAATAAATTGTGAAATCCTTAAATACATACCCTTGTTTTTATAATATTATTATTAGTGTGTTAAAACAATGCATTCGTCGTGTTTACAAGAGCTTGGATTAGAGTCTTCTCATAAATTCTCGCAAAATACTTTAGTCCCGTGATATCTTATTTCACCCTTTTAGATGTTTAACAGTGGCCAAGATTAGTTTGAATGTTTCAGTTAGGGAGTGCAGTGGGTAAGAGGGTAAACCAGGAACTAAAAATGTCCTTCTAGTAGTTCTATGACCTGACTATTCCGACGTGGGACTGTTCAAATGAGAACAAGCTTTGCTGTGCTGATGACAGAAATAAACAAAAGATTTAGTCAAAAAGAAATATAAGTAGGCGTTTAATGCAACTTGACCTTTTTGAAAATCTGGATTTAATAATCCAACAAATTGTAGAGCTGATAAACAAATAGTTTCATCTCAGGTTGTAAATCAGTATAATTGATCTGAATCACCTCAGTAACTATGTGAAAATCTGTCTTGTGGGAATGTTATGTTGTTTCCAAAACAAGCAGGACTGCATCTTGGTGCGCTGCCAAATAGCAGCATATTTTGAGCCCCAAACTGGAGCTGGTAAACTAATGTAACATGGTCTGAAACCACATTAGGTTAAAGGGATAGTTCTCCCAAAAATTGAAAATTATCTCATAATTTTCTCTTCTTCATGGCTTTATACCTTAATGTCTTGCTTTTTTTTAACACAAAATGTAGATATTCTGGAAAAAGCTTAGGCCTGTTGCACAAAGCTGGTGTCCTGACATTTTATCTTACCTGTCAGATTATGCTACTAACCCTGTATTTGAATAGTTCTAAGGTTGGGGTTAGAGATTAGGTTGGTTAGGGCGATATTATAGCTTCATATCACACTACTCCACATAAAAATTTACTCTGGTATAGCAAAATCTGATGAGTAGCTTATTGCATCATCAAAATGTGCTACCTACTTTTTAAATGGGAGGTAGAACAATCTGACAAGGTAGGACAAATTAACAGAACAAAGGTTTGGGTTTTAGCCAGGTTATTTTGCATTTATTTTGAGCAGACTCTGAGTTTTCTGGCTCAAGAAGGTAGTTTGGTGTTGATCAAGTTTCATCCCCATGGTAACTTACGCTACACAGCTAACCTTCATTGGAGCAGTTATTATTCTGTAATAGTGATTCAAAAACCCAAAACTAGACAAATCAGTATCAGTAATATCATTATAAATTTAAAATAAAATATGTAAATAAATCTGTGCATTTGCTATACATAAAGCTTTTTAGAATGACCGTTGTTTGTGAATCACTATCAAAATCAGTTGATTAATTTGTCCTAATATTTTCTTTAAGTTGCCTTCTCAAGTTTTTGCTGCATGCCCATTCTGCATTTTTAATGCATTTAAATTTATCATATTTCTCATAACAATATTTTTTAGTCTTTAGCAGAGAGTGAATTGCTGACACTCATTCAATAAATGAATCAAACTTAGTCTCTCATGAGTGATTGGCTGTTTGCTGCATGTGCCTCTTTTTCAGATGTATGGAGTCCAGAGTTAATCACAATCTCTGGGTTAAAGCAGAGCCACCGGCGAAAATTTATATGAACTGATGTGAAACTGGTCTTAACCAGGTTGGATTTGTCTGGTTTTGTCAACCTGAAATTTATTCTCCAACCTGGTTTGTTCATTTATTTTGTGCAACAGGCCTCATCATTGACTCTCATGGCATGAAAAAAATACTAGAAGTCAGCTGGTCCCATCATTTTTCCAAATATCTTCTTTTGTGTACAACAGAAGAAAGAAACTCAAATAGGCTTGAGTGAGTTATTCCTTTATATTCAAATATCTGTTTCTCTTTCATTTAAGTGCACACCCATGAGATAAACCATTTTCTTCTACATCATGATTCATTATATGTATCTTTAATTACCAGATTGCTTTATATTCGACCAACATATATAGGCCTAAATATAATAATATATTCAAAATGGCTTTTCACGATTCACATAGTCAACATTAACCCTTATCTTGTTTCACATTTCACATCTTTTTCATATTTTTACATATTTTTGACCTTTAAAACGATACAAACCCAAACTAACGTCCTTATTTGCATATTGAGGCAATAGTTGATTGATTAAATCAGGGATGCTCAACCGTGTTCCTGGAGATCTACCTTTCTACAGAGTTCAGCTCCAACCCCAATCAAACACACCTGAACCAATTAATTAGGACCTGAACAGCACTTGATAATTAAAAACAGGTGTGTTTGATATGGGTTGCAACTGAAATCTGCTGGAAGGTAGATCTCCAGGAATACGGTTGAGCACCCCTGGCTTAGAGGGAATCAGCAAGAATACTATCAAGATATTTTCCTACATGGACAGTCTTCAGACCACATGGGTAAGAATGAGCTCTTGGGCCTTTATTATTTTACTGTGTAATTATGTGAGAATTATTGTCTATAGTCTTGGTACTAAAGATAAATACATGATAGAGAATGTGGTCATTTTCTGAACAGCTTACATTTTCATTTTTAGTAATATATGTGTCAGTTTCAGTGTTTGGTTTTGCCTCTGATTGGCTGTTTCACAACATTTGGCCACTAGAGGTCACTGTTTTTGTTGAATTGCACTGCTAGGCTATGGTTTTTATTATTTTCCTTTTCAGAGACGGTCACCATTTGCTAGACTGCTGCTTCTGCTTTGTTAAAGCATACTAGATATCATTTAAATAACAAATGAATAGACTCTACATTTTGAAGAGGGTAACCAATGAAAAGCAAAGCAAATATAATGGTAAACATAATGCGTTTATTTGGATTGTTTTAGTCAGAGCTGACAAAGAATGAATGTGTAAAGGCATTCAGACAATATTAACCTCAAGAGACATTCCACAGACAGAAATAACTGCAGTTCACTGTGTGTGTAGTTTAAATAGAAAGACATTACCATCTTCTATATTAATGTATCACAAGTGTTTGGCCAACTAAAGAAAAAAAATGTTCTTACATACTGTATAGTTAGCAATATGAATATATTTAGAAATTGAAAGATGCCTTTCAGTTTAACAATAAATAAAAGGTAGATATTGTGAATAAGTTGACCATTTAATAAATTTAAGCAATATTTTTATTGCGTAGGTTTCAGTCATATGTCAGATATAAGTTTTTAAAAATGAAGTGTATGACCACTTTTATGATTATACTAAATAACAGTTCAAGAATTCACGCTTAAGTTATGATTTATACATAGCTTGTTTGGCGTGCTGTCCCGAGAGAGAGCCCTGAGCTCAAGGGATCCTCAGGCCCAGGGCTCCTCCCTTTCACAGGGTGAGGGTAAATTGAGCTCAAGGTGATCTCAAACTCCCCCGCTGCTGAGGCCAAGGTGAACTTCCTGAGAGTAAGACATTAGAAAAAAAATTAGGCTTATTTTATTTATAATATAGAGCATATTTGGACAGTGGGAGGAAACCGGGTTACCCAGGCGAAACCCACACTGACACGGGGAGAAAATGCAAACTCTGCACAGAAATACCAGATGACCCAGCGAGGACTCAACGCTATTGGTATTCTTGCTGTGAGGCAACGCAACAGTGCTAATCACTGGGCCACCGTGCTGCGCATTCTGGATAAAGGTGGAAGAAGGAGAGGAGGGGGGTTTCTTCCAGACGAAGATAGTTGTAAAACTGAAATTGATATATATAGCGACTTGGGATCCTTTGATTAGAGGATCATAATTAGTTTCTGTGGGCCAGCTGTGTCAATCATGAGCACGTGCTCCTCTCGAAATTAGTTTAAAATTAAACTTCATTTTAACATTTAACGTATCTGTTAGTATGATTTAGTTGGTTAATAGTTAAATAATAAAGCACTTTCAGCACTTGTTAACATATTTTATCTTAAATCTTTTGCCAAATTTTTACTGGGCCTTCACTCCAAATGGCACAACTTGATCGAGGAACCATAGCAGGAAAACTCAAAGCCAGGATAGAGAGGCTGTGTGAATGTGGTCTGAAACCTGTGGAGCAGAGTCATTGACTCTTCAATGCTGTAAAACGCAAGCGTCCCAGCCTTATGATCCAGATAAACGCCGATCTTTGACGAGCCTGGCTCTGAGATCTTACTGACAGTCCCGTTGTACCAGAAAGCGTAACTCTTCTTGCAGCAGAATAAGCTCCAGGATTTGTCATTGTGACCGAAGTGCGCTTCACTGCTTTCCCCTTTCCTGGCAATGTTTTTGTATGCGACGGCAATGTTTACTCCCATCCCGCTCCACTCTAGCTCCCAGTAGCTGCAGCCGGTCAGGCCCTCGGTGCCCAACACCTGGCACCAGTAATCAAAGCGCTCCGGGTGGTCGGGACAGGATTGCTCTCGGCTCCTGACGGCCACTTCTCTGTTCCCCTTGGACAAGCTGAGGTCCTTATGGGCTGTTAAAGGATTTAGTTGCAGTGGGCAGGAATCTGAGAAATGGACAGAGGATAAGAGATCAACTATGTTTATTCATGGGTGTAGCCTATCATATTTAGTTCGTATCCATCTTGAGTTTTGCATATACATTTGAAGGCAAAACTGATAGCCCTCCTATGAAATTATAGTTCTTTTTTAATAATTCACAAGAGATGTTTCGTAGAGCAAGAAAAACATGCACAGTATTTAGGCCATGCAGTAGCCAGCCTGGAGAAAGAGGCATTTTTTGTTTCTAAAAGATGTCTAATAGACATCTAAACATAGTCATCTTGGCTAAAACAAGGCTAAACTTGGGCTGTCAGTGAAAATCTAATAGGCGTCTAAAAATAGGGCAAAACTAGACTCGTCATCAAATGAACAGAAATGAATGACTACACATATCTGTCTATTTGACCACTAGTCTAGTTTTGGGCTATTCTTGGATGTCTATTAGATTTTCACTAAGCCCAAGTTTAGCCTTGTTTTAGCCAAACTGTCTACGTTTAGATGTCTATTAGACGTCTATTAAACAAAAAGTTTTCTGGAGTGGTTCTTTTTTCTCCAAATGGACCTTTTTGCAGTTATAGGTCTCATTTAGGCTACTTATGGGCTAATTTTAAAATTTAAATAGTGCATTTTAGTGACATTTTAAGCACTATTTTAGTTTAAATAGATTGTTGGGTGGTCTTAATAACCAAAAATGTGCATTTGAAAATTCATGGATAACAACAATAGCCAAAATAGCATTCAAGTTCACTTTAATATTGGTCGCTAGATGTTTTTTTTTTTTTTGCACAGCCTATTGTTGAAAGGATGAAAAATAATTTTGTGTACTGGCCAAAACTGATTAGCGTAAGTCACACAGAAGCAACACCCAACAGAGGATTCCACTTGGTCTTAAAACCTTTATCAATGAGTTATTATTACCATTTATGATGGCATAGCAGTTAAAAAAAGGAAAAATGAGCTCAGGAATGGGACAAATTCTTTAGGGTGGGTCTGTGATATATTGGGTCTGGTATTTCCTACGGTACATATTTTGTTCTGGATAAAAGTCTTATTTCTTTTAGTTTGGCTGGATTAAAAGCAGGTTTAATTTTAAATTAGTTGTAAAAGGTTGTAATGTCAATAATATTAGCCCTATTAAGAGTTTTTTTTTTTAGTTGGCTACCCAATTAACTTCTGTAGCCCAATGGCTTGTCAAATTAAATTAACTTGCCTTGTTAACCTAAGTTAAGCCTTTGAAATCATAAGATCACTTTCACAGCATAAAAATTGCCCAATCATAATTTTTCTTCATAATAATATTATGCAGCAGTTGTTTTATGATTGACATGTACAGCAGCTACAATTTGTCTGTTTTAGTAAAACCTTTAAGTAGTTTATATAATTATAAAACATATCTAGAGGCAGTTAAAGTTACTTTTCAAAGTAATGCTTTACAATATTGGGTTTCTCCCCAAAAAAGTATCTAGTTGTGTTTGTTACTTTTTATTGAGATTAATGCATTGCATTACTTTTTAGTTACCTTTAAGTTACTTTTTCATATATGTCTGAGGCTTGATGTCTTTCAGAACTTGCAGGGTATTTTTTTAGAGAATGGAGAAGTTCTGCATTTAACAACACACTGTATAACCTACACCTTCACTAACCTAGAATGTTATCTTCTGAGAACTTCCTGGCGCTATACATGCCATATATACACTCTCGGAAATAAAGGTATGAGTGCTGTCACTGGTGTGGTACCTTTTCAAAAGATACACATTTGTACTTAAAGGATCCATATTTGTACCTTAAAAGTATCTATTAGTACCTAAAAGAATTAAGAGGTACACTTTTATACTTTTTATGCACTAATATGTACTCCTGAGGTATTAATATGGACCATTTAGGTACAAATGTGTTACTTTTGAAAAGATACCACCCCAGTGACAGCTCTCGTATCTTTATTTGTGTACAGAGTGTACAGATAAATGAAATCATTAAAAAAAGAAACATTTTTCTCAAAGATTCTTCTTAATTTTGTTAAGTAATCCATTACTTTTCTCTTTACTTAGAAAAGTAATATTATGTAAATCGCATTGATTGTAATGTGTTACCCCAACACTGTCTAGAGGTTGACAATCAATCACTGTCTTATTGTTGTTGATTTTTTTCAAAAGGCACCCATTCTTAAATAAATAAAAATCCCCGTGCTAGGTTAAAAAAACAATATGTGAATGAAGTAGTATATAATCATTACTACTACTACAAAAAAGTAGGTAGATGATGATCTAGTTTGTGACTAGAATTGGAAAGTCTGCATTTTCCCCCATGAGGCCACAAGAGACGATTTGTGCATTTAAATAATGAAACTGATGCTGTGTGAATTTCCAAATTTGGACCTACTACTAAATATAGTGTGTGATTTTGAAAGCAGTGACAGTTGTGATAAATGAATCAGTGCATTATTCACTCAACCTGTTCACTTAGCTAATCTACATTCATGAACATCTACCATTTCTATGCTCACACAGAAGCAACAGGATGCAAAATGTCAGACCAAGGTAAAATTGGTTTTAAATCATTGCGGAAATTGGAGCAGTAATGATGCTGTTTGTGTTGCTCAATTCAAAAATCCATGTTTTAATGTCAAAAGCCGACTTTTAAAAATCAATAACACTTTGCATTAGTGCAGTAAACGGACTTACGGTACAGGAACTCGGATCTAATTTTGGGCTCTGTGCAGTGAAGGATCGTCATTGATCTGGCTGGAGAGAAATGGAAAGCATGTGTACACGCTGTAATGGTTTAAAAAAAAGCAGATGAGAGGGGAATTAGCTCAGAGTGTTTTGCCCTTACCTGCTTGATGGATCCTGAGCCACTCCCCTTTAAAGACATCTTCAAGCTTCTTCTTTAAAACAGAAATCGCATCGTTTACTTTGCCGAAATCGGAAAGTGACGCTATTGTGAACGGAGGGTCAGGAAGTCCAGAGAAGAAGGAACTGCAATTCTTCAAACAAAAAAAAGAGAAAGAGAAAAACATACGTTAAATTACCTATTTTTAAATTTTTTTTTTATGATTTAAAGGATTGGTTCACCCAAAAATACGAAAGAATTAAAAAATATATAAAATTTTCATTTTTCGTTTTAAACACCTGAGACCTTTATTCATCTTCGAAACACAAATTAAGACATTTTTTATTAAATTCGAGCGCTTCCTTATCCTCCATAGACAGCAATCATCCTGAAACCACTTTTTGCCTCACAAAAGTGCATCCCAGGCTGGCTACTTCTGAAAACCTACCTCTATATACATTTCTGGATTGTGCCAAATACCTCTTGGTTTTTTTTTTTTTTTTTGCAGTTTTTGTTTTCGCAAATCCACCTCTGTGTATGCTTTTTCAGATCTCAAATTTTTCTTGCGAGTACCATTTGCGCCTGCTTTTCTCACGTTAATCCACTTTAATTGCTGTCGACTGACTGATTTACCACTCGACTGACCCACCCTTTCCCTTCCCTAAACCTAACCAATAGTGTTTTCACGAGCGCCAATTTATCCGCCCACCCACTTCACTAAATGAAAAAAAGCCCTTGCCTGATATTTACCATGGTTTTAGATTTTACCACATTTTCACCTTGTTATTTATTTATTTATTGTTTGGCTTCTGTTTTTGTCTTACCTGCTTTATGGAACTATTCTTTGTGGACTGGAACCCTGTCTTAAGTTTAGACTATGTTTAAATGTCTATTAGACATTTATTAGACATCTTTTAAAAACAAAAAATGCTTGCTGGGGAGGATGAGAGAGATCTCAGATTTCATCTAAAATATTTTACTTTGTGTTCTGTAGATTAATGAAGGTCTCAGGGGATTGGAGAGACAGGGTGAGTATGAAATAACAGAACTTTCATTTTTGGGTGAACTAACCCTTCAGACAGCACTGGGTTTAGGATTACCTGAAGAACATGGACCTGATCTTCAGACTTCAGAAGCATCTCGAGCTCGCGATCTCTCTGTTTTAGCTCATTGATTTCTTGCTCCAGTGTCTGCAACATGCTCTCTGCAGCTTTCTCTTGATCACTGATCAGATCTCTGAACTTACACTGCCTCCTTTCGATGGACTGCATCAACTCACTGAAGATCTTTTCACCATTTTCTATAGCAGTCTGTGCAGAGATCTTTTAGTGAACAAAAACATTTACTTAATGTAACAAATCTATTTAGAAAACAATCAACAAATTTCCCTTTTGTAGGAGCAATATCACACGAGTAGCAGTGCAATATGGCTGTATATTGGCACTGGTGCGAGGGATGCATTGGCTACCGAGTGCCTTAGTGTCCCACCAGTGTCCCACCAGTGCCTTAGTGTCCCACCAGTAGTGTCCCACCAGATTAACCACTGTTACTCGTGCGATATTGCATTTATACAACAGTTTGTCTTTGCTCTGCTCAATGACAGGCTAATGGCCACCAAAGCGCTGTCTCTGCAAAATTATAAATATTTAAAATAGGCACTATCCTTATAAATTAAAAAAAGTTGCAATTTAAATAATACATTCTTGCCTAACAAGCCTCAAAAGTACACTATGTTGTCCAACAGCAGCAACACTTGTCAAACTGTAGAGTGTCCTCTGTATGGGTGGAGTAATACACAAGGGTGAAGGGTGAAGAGGCAGGACAAGTGCTGTTATTTGCAGAATATCACGGCTATCAGCCAATCATATTCAAGAACCAGAGAGAACTGTTGTATAAATACATATATTATCAAATATTAAATTACATATATTTCATATATTAATTAAAATATTATTTTCAGTTTAGCTTTATTTTGTTTTATAACTCACAGTTTACAGTATAATTAAAATTTTACAAAACAAATTAATTAAAGTAATGCATCTAATTCAAGTATATACATGTATTTATTAATAATAAGAAATAAATAAAGAGTGTACTTTATTTTCATACTTCATTTTAAAACATCTCATTGGTTATCCATTTTTTTAAAGAGAGTTTACAGAAAAAAAAATTCTGTCATGATTTATTCACTTTTTACTTGTTTCAGACTTTTATGAGTTTATTTCTTTTGGTAAATGCAATAGAAGATTGCATATATATATATATATATATATATATATATATATATACTTTTTTTAATTTTATTTATTTATTTATTTTTTTTAAAGCATTATCAGACTACTGACTTTCATAGTATTTGTTTTTCCTATATAGATGTCAATGGGTTCTTCAAAATATCTTCTTTGTGTTCAACAGACGAAAAAAAACTGTTTAGAACCACTTAAAGGAGAGTAAAAAGTGAGTAAATTATAATTTTGTGTGAACTGTCCCTTTAAGTTAAAACCATTGTGGACACATCTTACTTTCAGGGCATCTACAGCCTGTTTAAGCTCCATTAGGTCCTTCTCTTTCGAGTGGATTTTGAGTTTGTATTTCTGTCGTGTCATGCCCAATTCTTTCTGTAAGGGAAAACAAAATGACAATTACATGTTGGAAGAGCTTTATTTGTGATTATTTTTGTAACTTTTACAGTTTAATCACTAATGTGAATAAACTTTGCAATAAACAATTGAGTTTATACACTATTTATGAAGAACTATTCAATATTCAAAGTAGCAGACCACAAAGCTGAAGCAAACAGGTCTGACCTCTTTTTGATTGGTCAGTGGTGCAAGATGTTTATCACTTTTTTTTTTCAGAAGAAGGAAGCTCTGATGGGATCTATTTGTGTATGCAGATTAGAATTTGAATGTGAAACAGGAAAAGGGTTTTGTTATACTTTTGTAACCTTAAAATGTCACATATTTACAGGTACGTTGTTTCATTTGGCTTGAAACGTGAGCTCAAACATTAGTCATTTCAATGCTTTCTTTCTTGGACAATTTTTCCAATTACTCTTGCATGAACTTTTCCGCACAATGAACAGTGTTCATATTGGGCTCTGGAGTGCACTTTGGAAAATGTGCATTGCCTCAGTGGAAAATGATTATGGCTACTGAAGTATTTTTAGGAAACTTTCATTTACTGCACCCTCCATAGAGTTAAGACCCATGAAAAGTCTCTCTAATACACACTTCAAGCAAGCAAAGTAAAAGAAAAAACCATACCTGTTTCTTTGTACTTTCCACATCTCCTGGTACGACATCATGACCCTTGTGCTCATCCATCACACATAAAAGACATATGCACTGTTGATCAGTTCGACAATATATCTCTAAATATTTGTCATGACGAGGACAGATCTTCTCCTGTATGTTGGCCAAGGCTTCGATCAGCTTGTGTTTCTTCAAGGCTGGAGATTTGTAGTGTGCTTCAAGATGATTCTGACAGTAAGATGCCAAACATACCAAGCAAGACTTCACAGCCTTTTGTTTGATACTTGTACAGAAATCACAGGCTACATCACCTGGCATGAAGTTGCTGTAAATCTGCTCATCTGGTAGCTCCAGTTTCCTCAACTTGTTCACCACATCTGCCAGCATGGTATTTCTGTTCAAAACAGGCCTGGGAGTGAATGTCTGTGCACACTGGGGACAGCTGAAAATCCCCAAATGATCCTTTTGATTCCAGTAATCATTAATGCAGAGCATGCAGTAGCTGTGGCCACATGGAATCGCGACTGGATCTTTCAGCAGATCCAGGCAGATTGAACAGCAAAACTCTTCTGTATCCAGGAGCCCTTCCATGTTGTTGTTTTCTGCTGTAGCGCAGTCGATGAGATGAAAAAGGTTGTCACTGTTCCCACTTTAATGCGGATATTATTGAGCCACACCTCTATAAGTACTTCCTATTTAAATAACAGATAAACAGGCAAATGTGTGTCTGTTATGTAATAAAAACGAGGGACTGTAAAATGTAAAAAAAACAAATGTATCAAATACAATAAAGATATACTATAACAGAGGCACCACAGTTTTACCTGCCACACTGGAAATCCTATATATTGGTTGTCCATAACCTGGAGGCCCTAAGAGGACTAAGTGATTTTAAAATGCAGCTGCAAGCAGCAGTGATTATTATGGGTCCAAACAGAGAAAAAATAAATAAAGAGCTGTAGATGGATGGGGGATCAGACCATCTGCAACAATGAGTGATTAAAGACATGTTTTTGTCATTTTGCCCCTTTTTACGAGTTGTAAAATAGTCCCTAGGATGTCTATATGCTAGAGCTTAGATAGCCCATAAATAATGAAACCCGACCCTACCCGAGCCAGTACACCTTGATTTTACCCCGACTATTTTTTCAAGTGTGGGCCGTTATAACAGACATTCTTAACTACAATTTTGAGTTGTTTGAACTACCGACATTAGTTAAGATTTATCTTGATAATGTGACAAGGACGAGCATGTAAACGTCATTGTTCTGAATAAACAAACAATGCCGTTTACATGCTTCGTCCTTGTCGCATTATTCATCAGAATGGATTATAACAAAAGAGGAAATTAAATGTATTGTTGGCACCAGTAGCCTAGTGGTACTGTGCGCTGACATATAGCACCAACGTGCCCATGGTGACCTGAGTTCGATTCCCGGCTCGAGGTCCTTTGCTGATCCTTCCCCTCTCTCTGCTCCCAATGCTTTCCTGTCTGAGTTCTCTACTATCCTGTCATAATAAAGGTGAAAAAATCCTAAAAAACATAATTATAATCAAAAAGGAAATTGAAGGCTGACTGTCATCCTTTTTGCAATGGCAATTAAGCCTGCTTCATGTGTCTGTTCATGGTGTAAGTCTCCATTTTTTTGCCATCACGTCTTATCCACCACACAAATGAGCAGAGCATGAAAAGTGCATGTTTTTTCCGTGTCCATGATTTAATTAAAGCTTTCATACTGCACACAGAAGCAGCGTGTCAGTGCGGAGCATGTGCAAAGCTGAAGTTGCAGTGTAGCGATAATTTCAGCGATGGGTCTATTTTTGTCGCTGTTCACACTCTGGACTTTGATTGACATGAATAACAACATCGGCTCGAAATACCATACAAATATTTTTTTATAACTCTATAACTGAAACCGGCCCTTTTAGCGTTTGATCCAAACTGTGCTGTTTTAGTGACTGTTGCTTTAAATTCAAAAATTAAAACAGCTTATAGGAGGAAGAGCTTGATCTCAAGCTCCCCCTCATTGGAGGTGAGCTCCACCCAAGTGTCTCTGCAGCAAGCACCTTGGAGATTCAAAACTAATGTTGAATGGCTGCATCTTAAGCTGCGGTCACACTAGAGTTTGTGTGTGCGAAATTCTGTTGTACAGCTCTGCGAAAAGGGGCGGGATTAAACAAAATTAATAGACATTAAAAAAGTGAGCGATTGCTCCATATTTAAATTTTCTGTAGAGAGGTCATGTTTTGATCCTCTATTGGTCTCACGCAATCAAGTGATGCGAAACTTAACGCATGACTCTCCGCTTATGGTCGCATTTGCGTGCGTATGAATGGAAGTCTTTGGGGAGAAAATTCAAGTGTGATCGCAGCTTCACTCAGGGTTGTTTATGCTAATGAGGGAGAGATTATCACTAATGGGTGAGGGCGGCTTTCCCCCTCTGATGACATAAACAAAGGGAGAATGTTCATTAAAGTGTTTCTGCATAGTTTTTATGAAGTGTGATTATAAAAAGTAGAATTAAATAATTTTAACCATTAGAGGCTGGATATATTCACATTGTTATCACACAACTGTGTTAAAATCCCCAAGAAATCAAAACTAACCATAAGATTTTGTTAGCTCACATTGCCAGTTTTGTGGTGAACAATTCATCTGTGTATGTCATTAAAAATAAAAATAGTTTGCCCTTGTAATCTTTCATTAAAACCTCAAAATGCACTTCCTGATTGTTTTCAGTTAAATTGTCAGATTACGTGGTTTTGACAACCCAAACTCATTCTGACCATGGTTAACACTTAACCACACCTCTTCAGCTGTCAGTTTTGACAACAAACAGAAATGGTGAGCAGGAGGAGTCTAGTAGGTTGTAATAACTCTTTTCCCGATCTTTCTGAATGAAATGCCTACTTTACTTCATCCAACCAGCCCGCGGCCACTGTTTTCTCATTTAATATTCTAGGACCTGCAAAATAATGATCACAACTTCCAGTTCATTGGGACTTTAAACCGCTTTAAAAGTGATTTTTACATGATAGGCCCCTTTTAAGATGGTTTTAGCTAATTTAAGGCATGCAAGACACCAGATACACAATATACCAGTGTGCTCATATGAAGCACGCTCCGCTCAGTATTGTGCTCCTATCTATACAGAACAGTTTGATGATTTTTGGCTAAAGAATTCAGATGTTGTAAGTAAAAGTCAGTTTACTTAAATCTTACTCACAATCAGTTATTAAATTGTTCAAATGACAAAAGCAATTCACAATCAAAATGTGTATCAAAAATTCTGTAAATCCTCATGACTTCCAGCGGTTCAAATTTGCCTTTTCTAGAGGACGTTTGTTAATCAGAATATCTCCTATGTTACAGAATTAAGTCCTATCATTCTCTGAAGTGGACACTTAGGACTTTCATTCATTCATTCATTTTCTTTTCGGCTTAGTTCCTTTACTAATCTGGGGTCGCCACAGTGGAATGAACCACAAACTTATCCAGCATATGTTTTACGCAGCGGATGCCCTTCCAGCTGCAACCCATCACTGGGAAACATCCATACGCTCTCATTCACACACATACATTACGGTTAATTTTAGCATACTCAATTCACCTATACCACGTCTTTGAACTGTGGGGGCAACCAAAGTACCCAAAGGAAACCCACGAAAACACTGGGAGAACATGCAAACTCCACACAGAAATGACAACTGATTCAACCGAGGCTCAAACCAGCAACCTTCTTGCTGTGAGGCGACAGTGCTACCCACTGCAACCACCGCATCACCCCTTTAGAACTTTTAAATTTCAAATTTATAGGAGCGGGGTTTTGAGAACTTCCTTTTCCTCCTCAAAAAATATGGTGTACTCCACTAGGCCATTAAAAAGTTACTTATCTTGAAATGTTATTATGTTTCATTTGAAGGACATTTTAATCAAATTTTAACATAATGTATTTTGTTTTATCTGTGGACATATGGCGTTGTTACCACCATTTTTTTGTTCTTAATTTTTCAACAAATCAGCAGAAAAAAGATTCCTATTTGTCTTCTTTAATTTTAGGAGACGCACATCTGGCAAAATTGCTACATAAATTTGACATGGCTGAACATTCCACTGGGCAGTCTGGGTGAGTGCACACAGAAAGTTCTAAAACGTGATTCATTAACTCAGGGACAGAGAGTCTACAGATCTTCTGTATCTCTTCACACAGGCGTAACTTTAAACAAAGAGTGAGCAAATGGAAGGTAAGTCTGAATCACCATATACAATAGTAAATGAGCCAAGAGCACAGATGCACAGAGATCACGCTTGTTTCTCCGTGGTTTTTATTGAGAGTTTGATTACACATTCACACAAGGCTGCGGTGTGTGCTGTTCTCCACAGAGAGAGAGAGAAAGAGAGAGGGAGAGAGAGGGAGAGAGAGAGAGAGAGAGAGAGAGAGTGAGAGAGAGTGGCACACTTGCTCTCTCTCTCTCTCTCTTAGAAAACACAATGAAAACATTCTCATTCAAGCATCGAGGACTGCGTAACAGTTTGTGACAGGCACATGCAGATCCCAGAGACTATACAGCACAGCAAACAACATTTCATTTTCTTTCTTTACCGTGAGGTGTTTGTGTAACTGATTCAGCCAGCTGGTATACAAAGGAACAGCAACTTTCTACAGCATTTGCATATACTTTGCAAACACAATTGTGCGCACATAAAGCAACAATATCCCGTATATGAATCCCATACAATGTGTTTATAAGAAAAACTATATATTCAAGATGTCTTCAACAGCCGCTTCGAATGGGTGTAATGAGTGGTTATCATCTGATAGTTATGGGGCAGTAGGGGCTTTCTACTCAGAAGGCTGTTATCATCCATCCACATGGTTAATCAGCTATACTAATAGAGAAGACTCCAGATCTGTTTTACATTACTGTGATGGTTGGATTTGAGGTTGGGATTGGAGTAGACGTTAATAAAACACAATTAATGCTAAATTTATTAAATAGTATAAATAATTATTGTGGTTAATCAGCTATACTAATAGAGAAGACTCCAGATCTGTTTTACATTACTGTGATGGTTGGGTTTAGGGTTGGGGTAGAGGTATATGTTAATAAAATTAAATTGATAGAAAATATAATAAGTAATATAAACAATTCTCCTTAACTTCCGGCTGCAGCCATATCTGATCTATAGCTGATTAACCATGTGGACGGAAGATAACAGCCTTCTGAGCCTACCAATAAGTACAGACGTCCCCTACTGGCCCATATCCATCAGCTGATAATCACTGATTTTCAATCGAGTGATAACATTCAAATTGGCTGTCTTCAACGTTTAATGATATGTCCAAATATACATTTATAGATCCCTTCATTTTCAGCGTGTCTTATGTAACAGTAGTTACATTTTTAAAATAAACTTACCATGTCAATTGTTTGACACATTCGCACCAAAGAGCAGTGTAATGTACTGAAAAGTGTCAAGTATTACATCACAGATATTAAGTGCAAACACATAGTTCTGAACTGGTGCTGATTAACCTGAACGGAAAGGAGGATGTTATACACTGATTGGCAATTTGACATTCACTCAAACAACGTCACTAAACTAAAAGCTATCAAAAAATCCTTCATGCAAAGTAGCTTTAAAGCACAAAGCAGCATAAATAGTATTTATTTATTGAAAGTAAAATGTAATTAATGAAACAATGCAAATAATCTTTTTTCTCCATGCATCTGATGTGGAAATTTAGATCAGCCTGGACATTTTACACAGAAGATGCATATACACATTTTTTAGACTTATCACTTACAAGACTTAAATTAAATAATGATTATTTTATTCAGTAAGTGGCATTTAATCAATGATCAAAATGGACAGTAACGACATCTAAATTACTATAAAAGATTTCTAATTAAAGTAAGTGTGCTGTACTTTTGAACTTATTTATGAAAGATGTAATAGGTGCTGATTTAGTTTTGCCAAATGAATGAATGGAAACAGTATTTGCAATTATCACTGTATTTTGATCAAATAAATGCATCCTTAATGAGCATAATAGATTCTTTTTTTGAGTTATGAATATTATTGACCACAAAATATTGAACTTAATATTAAAACTTTTTAACATTTAATGGAGACAAAAATAAGGGGTGACTTGAAAATTTACTGTTTTTCTGGATTTATAAGGTAGACATTAAAATATTTATTTTATTCTATAAATGTCTGATAATACTTAGTTCAAAAAGTAAATGAACATATTGTTATTTGTAGTATTTGAATATTTCAGAAAATTAGATTTTGTTTTGATTTGCTTTGATTGAAATTTAAGGTTATTCCACCAAATACTCATTGTTGGCACTAATTATCCACATTGGCATTGTGTTTTTTTACAATAAACATGTCTTTTCAGCACCTTTTTAGTTATTGTCAGAACCATATAGAGAGAGAGAGATGAGACAACAAAAATCTAAAATGTTTAATCGTCGTGTGATTCATGTAGACTCAAATAGTTCCAAGAAGTGCTTCGCTGTTAATTCAAATAATGTAATATAACTTTAGAACATTCACAATCTTATTTTAAGAAAATTTGTACCCCAGCAAACAATTTAGGGTTTAATAGACGTCTAATAGACATCTAAATGTAGACAGCTTGGCTAAACTCGGGCTGTCAGTGAAAATCTAATAGACATCTAAGAATAGCCCAAAACCAGACTAGTGGTCAAATAGACAGATTATACTGACTTTATACGTGTAGTCATTCATTTCTGTTCATTTGATGACTAGTCTAGTTTTCACCTATTCTTAAACGTCTATTAGATTTTCACTGACAACCCAAGTTTAGCCTTGTTTTAGCCAAGACATCTATGTTTAGACATCTATTAGAAACAAAAAAAAATGCTTGCTGGGATCTTTTAAAAGTGCAAAACCAACCGTCTACAGCAGTAACTAAGCTAGGTTCAGTTGCCTTGAACCGTGCCAAAGCGCCCTCCCCTCTCCCCTGACACCCTGCACTCACATTATATTTTTTACCATCCAAGCCAGAGCAAGTTTATGTTATCAATGATGTGACTGTTCAGTTTAACAGAACAGTGAAGATTGCTTTAGTTATATCTTTTTGTGCAGTTACACACAGTCAAATATTTTGTGGAATAGATCCACAACTTTTGGTGCTCATAAATGATCATAAATGTCCTTGTGCTGCAGGTATTGGGAGGTTTGCTGAAAGTAGCAGTGAGTGGTTTGTGTTTTTAATAAACTATGAAAGTTTGCGTTTATTGAAAAGTAAGCATGATTAATAAATACAGAAGAAACAGTGCCTTAAATGTGATGCTGTGTCTTCTGTTTCGGGCACAGGCACACTTTGCCCTTACACTACAAGCGTACAGCACCAAATCCCAACATAACCGCACTCTGGCACACGTCTTACAACTGGGCCAGGGCCGGCCAAATGAACCACGCCTGAGCACGATTCAGAGCACTCACACTTGTCAAACAAACAGGTAAACGAGGCCAGGCACAGTTCGGATAGCCTAGTGTGAGGCTTCATGAGCCACCATTGATGTTGCCTTCTATCGGAGTCACTGGAGTTGTAGCAACTCTCTCTATCTCTCTATCTCTCTCTCTCTCTCTCTCTCTCTCTCTCTCTATGGCTCTGGTCATTTCTTTAGACTGTAGAATACACAAGACATGTGGTATAATTTTGAATGGGGAAATATGGCGAATAAAGGCCCACCTTTAAGTACAGGTGCCAATCTTCTATCACTATAGACGAACTGCAGGGGAGAGGCTCGGACTAGACGCAAGTTTCTGCAAATTTTAAAGTCATTTTGAAATGAAAACTAAAGAGATGATTGTTATTTAATTTTATTAGTGATTCCTAATATGAAATTCAATCATAAGCTTGGCAAGCAATTTTGGAGAATTTGATGTTTTCTCATTTAAACAGAATGCTCGAACATACTACACGAGAGGTGCTTCAAAGATGGCCAAGTGAAATGACTTGAATTAAAGGGACTTTGTTATTATATGCAAAAAAGCTCTAAATTACATTTGCATTTTACTTTCATAAGAAACATGACATGTTGTTAGAGAATAAAACTAAAAGTGTTACTCAAACAAGTCATAAATCCAGAGAAATTTCGAGTGCTTTATATAGTGTATAACCTGTGTGTGTGTGTGTGTGTGTGTGTGTGTTTGTTTGTTTGTTTGTGTGTGTGTGTTTTCATTTTCTTTTACTTGTATCCATTTATTACAACTTCTGACCCAAAAAGTACTTTCTTGTCTTTTGACCATGACACGATTGATAAAAAAGCAAGCACAAAGACTATAGTTCATGACCTACCATTACACCATCTCTACTCTCCAACCCACTTCTCTCTTTCTACATTGAATCTCTTCCTCTTGTATTACTCTGCTCTTTTTTTTTTTAAATTCTCGCTAAACCCCTTAAGCATTAACAAACACTAGCCTTGCGGAGTAAATGAGATCAGCCAGATAAAGAATGAAGTTAAGCGAGCTAAGCACAGTAATGGCGACCAGTTTGTCCCACGGGCAAAGTCCAATGCTGGACCCGCAGATGTTTGGTCGGTGGCTCTGGCCTCCGTGCTTATTGTCGAACTTATAAATGGGCCAGATGATGGTGGCCGACAGATACATGCTCACAGCCAGCAGGGCATACGTGGATAGGAAGCGGGCGAAGGAGAAAGGCAAGCAACCTGTGCATTCGCCAACACACATCACAATGATGCCTGCCGATAAAATGAAGCAGATGCAGTACACAGCCAAACACCACTGGGTCGCCGCATTCTGTTTGTACGACTCGGGCTCGCTGATGAAGACGAAGATGATGCAGGCGATGAAGGTTTCGCACACTTTTAGCAGCCCTGGTGCGGTAGCCATGTAGCCGGACACTTCTCCTGGACGGGCCTTACTGAGACTCACCTCGCTTAAATAGGCGATAGTAGCAAGGCAAGAAAATACAGTGGACACGATGCGGCAGTTAATCATCTCAGTGCGCCCAGCAAAGCCCTTCAGGAAGTACAAGGGGAATATGATGGACGCAGAGAGGCAGAGGAGAGAGGCGTAGCAGGCGAACGTGATGGGAAAGTTCTTCCACGAGACTGGGGCACGCGTCTGCAGGCCAAACATCTCCACTAGGATGATTAGAAGAGTTCCCACGAAACTGAAGCTCCAGCAGAACACGCACCAGTCGCCGGTGCCGTGGGTGAGCCTTGATCCGTACATGGAAACGCTGAAGGCCACGCAGGCGAAAACCATGGCAGCCACTCGGGTCCACAGGAGAGGTGAGGAACGCAACACCACTGCCATGATGGGATCACAGAGAGGAGAGTTACAGGGACGGTGATGTCAGACAGGAGTAATGGGAGTACTTTGGTTTGACGTCTTCTTAGATATCTAGAAGCAAACAATACAACTCACGAGTCAGTGCCATGAAAAGATTAATAAACAAAACATTTAATAGATTTCTCACACATTAAAGAATAATTCTGTCATTGCTTACTCAAACTCATTGGTGAGATGTTCCAAATTGGCAGATTTTGGATTGATTGATTGGTTGGTAGATAGATAGATAGATAGATAGATAGATAGATAGATAGATAGATAGATAGATAGATAGATAGATAGATAGATAGATAGATAGATAGATAGATAGATAGATAGATAGATAGATAGATAGATAGATAGATAGATAGATAGATTGATTGATTGATTGATTGATTGATTGATTGATTGATTGATTGATTGATTGATTGATTGATTGATTGATTCTGCAATGAAAGTCAGCTTTGTTTTACACTTACCATTGGACTTCATTGGATAAACTAAAAAATGGAAGTAAAGGATGACTTCTGACCAGATATATAACTCTAATATTTATACTCTGACTTGATCAACACACTTTTTAATGGGTCAAAGCCAGTCTGATGATTTTAGGAAGTCAGAGTTAACAGATTTTGCAAAAAAAATAAATAAATAAAAAATTAAAACTGTAATTGCAAAGGGGGTGGCATGGTGGCTCAGTGGTCAGCACTGTTGCCTCACAGCAAGATGATCGCTGGGTTAAGTCCTGGCTGAGCAAAGAGACATTGTGGATGTTCTCTCTGTGTCCTCCGGGAGCTCCGGTTTCCCCCACAGTCCAATGACATGCGCTGTAGGTGAATTGGGTAAACAAAATTGGCCATAGTGTATGAATGTGTGTGTGAATGTGAGAGTGTATGGGTGTTTCTCAGCACTGGGTTGGGGCTGGAAGGGCATCAACTGTGTAAAACATGTCAGAACAGCTGGTGGTTCATTCCACTGTGGCGACACCTGATAAATAAGGGACTTTAAAGTCGAAGGAAAATGAATGAATGTAAATGCAAAGTGTGTAATGAGCACACACTTCAGTAAGAGATCAATGATACTTGATATTCTGAGCCCATATTGTTTGTTTTTCATGTGTCTCTTAGCAACCTAAGTATGTTTCAGAATGACTTCTGAGAAGTTTGTTGCTTGTGATTCTCTGCTATTTAGTTTTATTGCACAGTTTCTCTTTGTAACCATTTACAGTGTTATTATACAGTATATTATGAAACATCATACAGGATATTTCAGCCTAAATTTTTGACAAAAGTTTGAGTAAAGTAATTTTTCCCTTTACTTTCGTCAGTTGGTAAAGTTTGTTCCTTGCCACTGTTGCCACTGGCTTGTTTGGTTTGGGACTTGTGGAGCTGCGCATCGATGGATTCGCTCTTCAGCAGTGAAATTAAACCACACTCAACTGAACTAAACTCAACTCTGAAAACTGGACTGACACAGTTTCAATTTACTAGAACTTCTTTGTTAAGCTGTTTTGACTCAATCTACTTTCTAAAAGCGCTATAGAAATAAACATGAATTAAATGACAGAATTTACAGAGCCTGTAATATCTGCACAAGTAAATATGTGATGACAATAATGTCATGATCACATGGCTAGCTAAAATTCCCCACAATCTCCTTCTGAAACATGCAGAATAATAAGCCGTGTATTCACGCAAATTACATGGTCGCATACTGAATAATTTGGTGCTCTACAACAAAAACGTCTTTTGGGATTCCAGACAGGGAGTCAGTGAAATTATCTCTGTAATGCATTCAAGCTATTTAGACAAATGTGCACAAGCGAGACCTTTCCTCAACCCTACAGTCCATTAGTTATCAACCTCTGTGGGAGGAGTCAGACCAGCTAACAATCAGAGCATTGAGCCACTCAATGTAGCCCTCCTACAGAGCTCTGTTACAGCCAGGAATACCTCCTTCATCTTGTCAGAGAGGTTCAAGTAAACAATGGAGGCATGCGTGTTTACATTTTTGGGTTAAGTGGATGGAGGAGAACCGAATAAGAAATAGGAGTCAAAAAGACATGGTGGAAAAGCAAGAAGGCAGGCAGATGATTTCAGAGCCACATATTGACAGACTGGCGAGGTGTTTGAAAAAGCTTGTCCTTTCACTTCATGACAGCTTAAAGTATATTTTAAACACAGGCGGGAATATCTTAACTGTGAGTCATTTAGACCCTTTTTCCCCCGCTCTTTTCTGCCTAGTGTCAAATTTTCCAACTTGCTGATCTATTCCAGATGTTCTGCATCCCATTAAACTGCAAAACGAGAGGGATGTGCTTGGTGTTTTACACACCGTATTCCCCCAAGTGCCCAACCTCATTTGTTCTCCCCCACGCCCACCTTTCAGAGCTTTACTCTTTTTGTACCTCTTTCATTCCCTCTTCAGCATTGGTTGCTAAAGAAACAGAACACTGAAAGGAAACTCCTTCACTTTGCTTTTGTCATCCACACATGAGAGGAGATGGAATATACCAGTGAATTTTATGCAATGCACAATTACTCATTTTCTCCTCATGCAACAAATGTCAAAGCAAAAAGCTGTTAATAGAATTGAGGAAACGCAAAACAGGACACGACATGGAGCCATGGAGGAGGTCACACGGCTGTATGAGACATGCCATAAGTAGCTCAATTTTCTCCTTAAACTGCCTACAGTGCTGTTATTGTTCCAAGCAATAAAACAAGCTCTGCACAGTCATGCTAGTACAGAAAGAAAGAAATGTTCCCAGTAACTGCCAACATGTTTTAAGCTTCCAGAATATATTTTTCCTTCTTTTTTTTTTACAAAGTGATGCCATAGAAGAACCTTTTTGGGTTCCACAGAGGACCTTTCAGTGAGAAGCTCTTAAAATAATTGTGATGAACATTACTAAAAAAAATTTACAATTGTAAACAAGGGCGTAGATTTGCTTTTGATATTGGTGGGGACTGGAGACCTAATTTGACACCAACCCCCCAACCTCCCAAGCCCCCCAAATTTAAAATTTAAATGTAACCACATTTAAAATATAAAGTTAATGGAATGTCTGACAATAAGGTAGTTTAATAAAGACATAGGTTAACTGAGGGCAAATTTTTTGCGTAATTACTTACCACTGCATCTAAACATATTTTTGCAAGTTTATTATTGCCATTTATTTACTTTAAACTTAATCAATGGTAACTATTACGGTGGAGCTTGACCTCAAGTGACTGACAGGTTTTTTTTTAAATGTAGCAGCTTATGTCCATGTTTCACCTGATTCTTGCAGAGTAAAGCCCAACTGGAAAATTTCAACAAAGCATTATTTTATGTTGGAGGCAATTAAATTATTTTATGGGGACATTTTAAAAATCTTTGGATACTGGTGGAGACACGTTCCCTCCATCCATGCTAATTCTACACCCTTGGTGTAAATAACCATTTGAGAAATGTGAGATTCTATGGATGTTAAAAGGTTTTCATGGACCAAATATTGTCAGTAATGATCATTTTTAAGAGCTTTGGGAGAAGAAACATTTGTCACATTTTGGTTTTAAGTGAAAAAAAAAATAGCGCAAACAAAAACAATATTATGGAAATCTTAAATTACTTCAATTGTATGTATGCAGGCAAGAAATCCAAACAATTCCAGCGAATAAATGGAGTAATATGACATGAGATCATCCTCCTAACAGACTCTAGTGGGCGTGCCTCTCCACGTGCTGCGCCATTGTTAATACAGAATACATTAACATTAAAAATAAGTTAAAATAGTAATACATAGCATACTTTAAAAAGTAGCCAATATTATTTTCCGTCATGATTTTGGTGCAAGGTGCAACCGCCGCGGGACGAAATAGAAAGGATAGAGTGTCTTAAAAAGAGAACTTGCGTTTATTTTTAATATTTGTTTTATTTTAGACTGTCCGCTAGAAACGCGCACTGTCAAAATCAACGTCTGAACGAATACAATAATTTATAATAAATACTTTGTCTACAGCAGAATTTATAAAACAACCTCTAGTTAGTAAATGATGACAGATAAAAACACATCAGTTCAGGCTGCTTTAAATCAACTTAGTCAAATAACTATGAAAAGATGTTACTTACCAATTTGTCCCGTTATCTTTCTCTCGGAGAGCTTAGTCTGAAACAAGTAGGCGCGGTCTTGGACTTTTCAATCAGTGAGGACACTTCGACTTAGAGTTTATGAGGGATACCCTCCACCCACCCTCAACCCGCCCATTACATGCCAAATTAGGTAATAAGCGCTCTCTTTCTTCAGCTCTCTAACTGCAAATGCTCCTCACAAGAATTTCCAAGTACTCCAACTTTCTCATTCACTTAGCTGCATGCAGAATGTAATCCGACTTTAATAGTGAATACTTGTAAGTACTTTCTTAGCTAGCCTAAAATAAAAATTCCACTGTCTTACAGTTATTCATATAGCCTACAGTAATATAGTCTGGAATGTAAAAAATAGAAGATAACCAGTTGCTTAAACAAGGTTCTTAGCCTACTTTCACTCATACCCCCATCAGGATGGGCTGACTAATTCATAGAGCTACCCTCAGCCAATTCTGCTATTAAAAGAATGCTTTAAAAGTTGGTGAACCCAAGAGAGATCTGTATAACTTGTACAGAGCAAAGTATATTTTATGTCATGAAAAAGTATTAAAAGAATTAAAAGAAAAAAAAAGCTTCAATTATATATATATATATATATATATATATATATATCATACCAGACTTTCTGAGTTAACAATGAGGAAACTGAGTGTACCATGTTTGTTCAATACATGTTATCATTTAACATGAGAGGCTTGGCTACATCTAAAAGGTGCATCTTTATACAAAAAAGATCATATAATCTTGAATCACAAAACCTGACAGATGTATTAACAGGGAGGGGATGTCATATTCTTTAGTCAATATGTTATCATTTGACATGGTAACATCCAAAGAATACAAAATAGATATATATAAGTGTAATATAGCTTTTATTAAATTAAAGTTTTAATTTTTAATTGTTTTATATTTAACCCTCTTGGAATTTTAAAAAACAATTCGGTTAACTTACTGCATTTGTGTTGGGACAATATCTCTTGGTTGTGTAAATTGTTGTCCATCATCAAGCACTGTGGTTATCTCGAGGAGATGTCACACTGTAAACATTTAAAAAGAGGTTTTCACAGAGATGGTAAGATATGTTTTTTTTATTCTTTAATTTACCTTAATATTATAATTTTTATTCTTATGTTATTTACGAATTTTGTATTTTATTGATAGATTGTTTGATTGAGGATGGCACCGTGGCTCATTGGTTAGCACTGTCACCTCATAGCAGATGGTGGCTGGTTCGAGCCTCGGCTGGGTCAGTCGGCATTTCTCTGTGGAGTTTGCATGTTCTCCTCCTGTTCGTGTAGGGTTTTCTCCGGGTTCTGTGGCTTCCCCCACAGTCCAAAGACGCAGTATAAGTGAACTGAAAAAACTAAATAGGCTGTAGTTTATGAGTGTGTGTGTATGTGTGTGAATGAGAGTGTATAGGTGTTTCCCAGTACTGGTTTCAGCTGGAAGGGCATCTGCTATGTAAAACATATGCTGGAATAGGTGTTTCACTCAGCTGTGGCAACCCCTTGTAAATAAAGGGCTAAGTTAAAGAAAAAATAATGATTGATTGATTGATTGTTTAATATTAAAAATAATCGGAATATAAGAATGTAATTCTTATATAAGAATGTAATTTGTAAGCCAAATTAAAGAGAGATTTGTCAAGAAAAAAGCAATTTATTGGCTTATTCATACACAACATTGATAATAAACTTTGCATTTGCAATTATACCAAGATAGCTTATTTTAATTATGACTAAACTGAAAAAACAGTTGGCGATTCATTCCGCTGTGGCGACATCTGATGACAAAAGGAACTAAGCCGAAGGAAAATGAATGAATGAATGAAAATAAAGTTATAAAATTATCTCAACTTTAGCGGAATACAATTTCAAGCACATGTGAACAGTATACACGTGTGGCTTTTGGGCCATCTTTTGGTTTATTAGTGGCATTATTGTTTTGCTAAAGCTGTAGATGATGATGATGATGATGATGATGCAGTGGTTTCCATCGTCATGTAATTATGCTCAGCCAGCAGAAACTGCAAATCTGATTAAACTCCAGCAGGCCCCATCACTGCACTGTCACACACTAAACAAATGTCTTTAGAGCAAAGGGATGGCAGTGAAAAGAGGTGATGTACATCTATTTCTACAAATGTGTTCACTGAATGACTGTGGGAGGTTGTGTGTTTTAAACGTCGATCACATTCCAAACATCTTTAACCTGAAATATGAGCACTGGTCAAATGCACTTCCAGAAATGATCAATTAAATTGCTGGTATTTATTTTCTTTTGCTAGGATGCAGAGGATGTTACCGTGGAGACCAGCTGTTTGTTTCTGCTGTAATGTGGTTAGATGGATGTGTGATTCGGTGCCTATGTCTGCTCACTGAGAACGGAAACCATGATTCCTCTCTCTTCTTACCACTCCCTCATTCTTGAACTGTTACCAAAAGAAAGGAGTTATAAAGAGAGAAAATAAAATATTATGAGAAAGTAAGAGTGTGGCTAATAAGATAATAATAAACTTCCTGTTCACACTTCTTTCCGTTATGATGATTGTATCTCCTGGGTAAGTAAACAGTGATGAGTCAGTACAAGGTTACCATGACAAATAGCCTGATGTTGGATGCAGTTGAACAAACTCTGAGTTGCAGGGTAGGCTTAAAGCTGACATAACCAAACAAATACATTGTGATCTAGATTAGGTTTTTACCATGATATAAACGCTCTGTTAAATCAGGGTTTGATCCAAAGTTTGTGATTATAACTTATGTATCTGAAATGTGACACATGCAGCATTCATGAGAGAGCCAGCCAAAGTGACTTTTCTGATGAAGATTAAGATTGTTATAAAAAATGTCATGAATGTGCTTGCATTTGCAAGACAGGGATAAATTATATACTCACCGGCCACTTTATTAGGTATACCTTACTAGTACGAGGTTGGACCCCCTTTTGCCTTCAGAGCTGCCTTAATCATTCGTGTCACAGATTCAACAAGGTACTGGACATATTCCTGAGAGATTTTGGTCAATATTGACATGACAGCATCACACAGTTACTGCAGATTTGTTGGCTGCACATCCATGATGCGAATCTCCCGTTCCACTACATTCCAAAGGTGCTCTATTGGATTGAGATCTGGTGACTGTGAAGGACATTTGAGTACAGTGAACTCATTTTCATGTTCAAAAAACCAGTATGATGAATCGCGCTTTATAACAAGGAGCAGTATCCTGCTGGAAGTAGCCATAAGAAGATGGGTGGCCATAAAGGGATGGACATTGTCAGCAATGATCCTCAGTTAGGCTGTGGCGTTGACAATTCTCAATTGGTACTAATGGGCCCAAAGTGTGCCAAGAAAATATTCCCCACACTATTACACCATCACCACCAGCCTGAATCGTTAATTCAAGCCAGGGTGGATCCATGCTTTCATGCTGTTGTCTCCAAATTCTGAACTACCATCTGAATGTTGCAACAAAAATTGAGACTCATCAGACCAGGCAACATTTCTTAAATACTCAGATCATCCCGTCTGGCATCAACAACCATGGCAGGTTCAAAATCACTTAAATCACCTTTCTTTTCCACTCTTATGCTCGATTTGAGCTGCAGCAGATCATCCTGACCATGTCTACATGTCTAAATGCATTGAGTTGCTGCCGTGTGATTGGCTGGTTAGAAATTAGCATTAACAAGCAGTTGGATAAGTGTACCTAATAAAGTGGCTGGTCAGTGTATATTAGTTACTTGAAGCAATTATTACCTAATAAATATAATAATTATATAAATAACTAATACCAGTAATATAATAAATAATTAGCTGCAAAGTGCGGACAACTTGTTTTCTTTTTTTTTTTTTTTTTTGGATAGAGAAATACATAGGCATGTAGGGAATGGCTTAATTTCATCAAACATATGTCGGTTAGCTCTCGACATTCTTAAGCAAAAAGCTTTTTTCAATCTAAACACAAACTGGGTAAAAATGGTTTTGTGCTCCGGGCCTCTGGTAATGGCAAACTCAAAGTGTCACTGTCCTCCTCAATTATTTCCAAAGCTATTTAAATAAAATCAGCAAACAAATAAATGTACATTAGAAAATGCCATTTATAATGTTTACTTACAATCAGTTGTATTTCTCAAACTATAGTCACTACAGTTGATCAAACAAAATCAGTACTTGACAAAAGGTGAGTACCAACATGCATGTTTTATATCAAATAGTGTTTTATTAGGCTGCTTTTTATATGAAGTTAGTGAAAAGTAACACATTAAAACCATTCATTACATGTTAAACTTTTAAATACATAGTACACTTCAAAGGAATTGTTATTAAGAGCAAGAATCAAATGAAATGCCTGTCAATTGGACTTCAGCTTAGATGTGTTACACCTTTTTTTTTTTACCTGAGAGTGGACAGATATGTAATAAATACAGAATACCAACACCCAACACAGCTATACAATTATTTTAAAAATGTGCTTTTCAATGTAACACAATGTAACTTGATGCACTAATGTTTCCCTGAAAAAGTAATTATGATGGCAGTACCTCGTATTTATTTATTTATTTATTTTATTTAAAGTATTTAAAGTATAATATAATTCTTATGTATTCCCTTACCTGTGAGAGGTTAACTTGTTGGGGGAGGGGTTGTTCTGGAAAAAAAAGAAAAATCATAAATAAAAAGTTTTAAAAAGAGCTTTTATAGCTATGTTGTGTGATTTTTTAAATATCTTTGCATTGAGTAGGTCGTACTGACCTGACACAAGAGATTTGTGTTGGATGACGCCATCTAGTGGTGATGACAAAACATCCACGATGGAGTAACAGAATACAACTTTTACATTTTTAAACGCAAAAACACTTTTTTAACTGTCATAATTTTATTTCTACAGTGCTTTTTGATTGAGGTATTGGTCCGGGGAGGGGGCAAAGGTTAAACCTTGTGACACACTGAAACCGAAAATCTCGTAACACTGGTTTGCTCAGGTGTTCAGTTCTGTCAGCGTCGTAAACCTGCAATGGCAGAGTGAATTCGGGCGAGGGCGGCGTGTCATCATACTCACATCAACTCTGCAATTAGCAGACACACTGCGATGTCAGGAAGTAACAAGCCGTCCGTGTCGTCAACATTCAGGAGGCGAAAGAAATAGTCTTCCTTATTTCTCGATCAAGATTTCACCGAGCCAGTCGCCTGTGTTATTATTCGCCTCTTAATGGTATTTACCTGCGCCGTGAATGTGAGTTTATCGTGTCCGGTGTTACGCAGGGTTGCAGGTGGACTGCTTTTACTAGTTGAAGAGCTGGAAGTTTCGCCTGGAAAGCACTGCTGGATTTTTTTTCCCCATGTTGGAAATGATTCCGCTCTGGAAAACAACGAGGTTGTTTTGAAAAAGGTACATTTGTTGTTATTTGCTTGTTTTTTTTATTGCTAATCCATTGAAAGAACTAACGTTGTAGTAAGATTTTCTGAAGTGAAAGTTAATAGTTTTGTCACGGTTGTAAAAAGGCGTCATGACTTGTGTCGTGTTTGTTAAATAATCTGCTGATGTTAATAGCGTTTTTATTATTCGAGCATGATTATATTTAATGTTATGAAAAGATATGTATTTCTCTAAATATCAAAGTATTTTAAAGTGATGTTTCATCTAAAATAAGAATTATTTTAATCGAATTATTTTAAAGACATTTCAATTCTCTTGTGTTTGTTCTGTTAAACAAAAAAGAAGATCTTTTGAAGAATGTTGGAAACCCTGCAATCTTTGAGTTCTAATGTAAATATAATTTTCATATTGGGATGATGTATATTTTTAGAATTAAGGAAGACTTTACCTACATGCATACATTACCTACATTTATTGTTTACATGTTCACAGTATGAACATTCATTTAAAACACTTGGCAAAATAGTAAATAAATACATTATTAATTAACTAATAGCATACAAACATTAAATAAACAGCAGTACTTGACACTGACTGATTTTTAAAAAGGCTACTACTATTTTATTTTAACTAGTGAAACTTTTAAGGAAAATATAAACTAGATCCATGGAGTTCATGCTAATTTTACAACCCGCTACAGTTTTCACATTAGGCAAGTGTGTACTTGTATATCCTGGTGGTCTAACTGCTGTTTCACACTCAAACCTACATTCTTTCCTCCCTTTCTTTCTTCTCCAGATCCTTATCATGCTGTACTGTGCGGTGTGCTGTACTGATGCATGTCTGTGTGTTTAAAGAATGAATGTCACGAACGGAAAGGCGACAATCTGCCAGGATGAATCGGTCTGCGCTCTGCAAATTTACCCCAGGTTGTCCGCCAAACCTGGGCAAGACTGCATCCTCAGGGTCCCGAAAGAGGCCACAGCCGCCACCGTCATTAAGACGGCTCTCACTACGCTTGGCTTAGACACATCCAAACCCCACGTTCTCGTGGAGGTCCAAGAGTACGGTGGAGAAGAATGGGTCCTACAAGCCAGCGACCTTCCCGTTCAAAGAGTCCTTCTCTGGCCTAGAAAGGCTCAACTCAAACATCCTCAAAGCGATGGATACTTCTTCGCTCTTCAAGAGGGAAGCTACGACAGATCCATGCATTATGACATTATGTCATCTGTCCGACGAGAGAAAGTAGCTCAGGGGCTTGTAACTCGGGGTTTCGTCTCACAGCAGCCTCAGGAGTATGACGATTTATGCAACCTCCCTGATCTAACAGAGGAGAGCATCTTGGAAACTCTGCGGCATCGCTTCCACAAGCAGAAGATCTACACGTTTGCGAGCAACATCCTCATCGCTGTTAATCCCTTTAAGTTTCTCCCCATCTACAATCCCAGATACGTCAAGATGTATGAGAACCACACGCTGGGCAAGCTGGAACCTCACGTCTTCGCTATTGCAGATGCTGCCTTCCACACGATGATGAACAAACGGGTCAACCAATGCATCGTCATCTCCGGGGAGAGTGGTTCTGGTAAAACACAGAGCACCAACTTCCTTATCCACTGCCTGACCGCCCTCAGCCAGAAAGGATATACTAGTGGCGTGGAGCGAACCATCCTGGGAGCAGGCCCAGTGCTTGAGGTGAGTTTGAGGTTTGGCACTTTTCATTGTATGCTTAGAAGTGTGATGGCAATCTAGTTGGAATAGGAGACCAAGTAGAGATGTAATACAGGCCTGTAGCTGTATTTATGTCCATAATAGCTAGAAGTGGCCTTAAACAGGGTTCAGCAATGGTGTTTCTTTAGCTATAGGATCCATTGAGATGAAATGACATAGACGAGAAGACCATGATTCTGAAACTATTGTCTTGTACCAGGGGCGGATTTAGTGATTCAGGGGGCTTAAGCAACTTCAGCCATGGAGCCCCAAGTCCTGAAATGCACCCTTTCTACTCTTATTTAATTTGTATTTATTTTACTGTTTTCGGGTATCTTTCAATTCTATTCAATGTTTTATCTTAATGTAAACTTTACATTTTTAAATAATTAGATGTCTTAAAATGAAGTAATAGCCACTTTGTTCAAATGGCATCCATTGTCGTGCTAATGCTCATTTGGGACGTCTGTTTGAATCCTTATTTTCAGTGTCTTAATGCCGTTTGTGTATTATTTATGAAGTGTTATGTTACTTATCTAGTTTTACAGTGGTGTGAAAAAGTGTTTGCCCCCATACGGATTTATTTATTTTTTGTTATGATGTTTGTGACACTTTAATCAATGTTTCAGATCATCATACAAAATAAGTCACAAGATAAAAAGAGATAACACAAGTACCTTGAACAAGTATCTTGAACAAGAAACACATCTGTGTACTTTGTTTTCTCTTATGTTTACTTGTGTTATCTTTGACTAATAATTAAATTTGTTTGATGATCTGAAACATTAAAGTGTGACAAAAAAAGTGTTATCTATAAAAGATAAGTCAGTAATGCGGCAAACACTGTTTCACACCGCTGTAATTTTGTTTAGCCTATTTTGAGTTTTCTTTTAACTTTTTCTTTAGTCAATTTTATTATTTTTTGCTTTTGTAAAAAGTATTTATATTCAGTGTTATGTTTTAAATTTATTTATTTTTATTTATTCATTCAATCATTCATTTATTGTCCTTCGGCTTAGTCCCTTTATTCATCAGGGGTCGCCACGGTGGAATGAACCGCCAACTATTTCAGCATATGTTTTACACAGTGTATGCCCTTCTAGCTGCAACCAGTACTGGAAAACACCCATATAAACTAATTCACACACACTCACATGCTTTGGCCAATTTAGTTTATTAAATTTACCTGTATCGCATGTATTTGGACTGTGGGGGAAACCGGAGCAATTGGAGGAAATCCACATGAACACGGGGAGATCATGCAAACTGACCCACCCGAGAATCGAACCAGCGACTTTCTTGCTGTGAGGTGACAGTGCTAATTACTGAGTCACCGTATCACCCATTTTAATTTATAGTCACTTTATATTTCACATTAAATTTTTTCATTAGTAAGTTTACAATTTGGAATGCATCCTGTGTATGTTTCTATTTTGGTTTCAGCTTAATTTCTATGAGTGTTTGGTTACATATATATTTTTTTTAACTCTACACTCTCTGGCCACAGTATTTACTGTAGTACCAGGTTCTACCAACTTTTTCCTTTGGAAAAAGTTTAAAAGTATACTGTTGAAATCAGATTTATTAGCCCCCCTGAATTTTCGCCCCCTGTTTATTTTTTCCCCCAATTTTTGTTTAACGGAGAGCAAATTTCTTTAACACATTTGTAAACATAATAGTTTTAAAAACTCATTTTCTAATAACTGATTTGTTTCATCATTGCCATGACGACAGTAAATATTTTACTAGATGTTTTTCCAGATGCTTCTATACAGCTTAAAGTGACGTTTAAAGGCTTAACTGGGTAATTAGGTTAACTAGGCAGGATAGAGTATTAGGCAAGTTATTGTATAATGATGGTTTGTTCTTTAGACAATCGAAAAATATTTAGCTTTATAAAAAATAAGGAGCTAATAATGTTGACCTTAAATGGCTTAAAAAAATTAAAAACTGCTTTTCTTTGATCTGTAATAAAACAAATAAGACTTTCTTTAGAAGTAAAAATATTATCAGACTTACTGTAAAAATTTTCTTGCTCTGTTAAGCATCTGGGCAATATTTAAAAAAGAAAATTAATTTCAAATAGAGTTTAATTATTCTGATTTCAACTGTAGTTAACCCAAAATGTAAAATTCTGTAATCATGTGCTCTCCTTTCACTTGTTCAAAGCCTGTATGAGTTTCTTTGTTCTGTTAAACACAAAAGAAGATATTTTAAAAATTGTTGGTTGCTTGCACCCATTGACTTCCATAATATCTTCTTTTGTGTTCAACAGAAGAAAGGAACTCATAAAGGTATAAAACCACAGGAGGTAGAGTAAAGAATATGGCCAGATTCATCCCTTAGTTTCCCTGAGACTAATTCCAGAAGTATGGAAGTACTGGAAGTATTCTTCAAAGATTTTTATTCCTAGTGATGGTAATCGTAAATTAACATATTTAAAATAAAATTACTGTCAACTAAAATAAAACTATTAAAAATACATATCATTTTAATGCTCATCTTTAGACATGAATTAGACATTTTGACATGATAGAAAGACAACAGCAAGTCAAAAAACATTAACTAGAGGCTCGAAGAAAAACATCCCTGAATGCACAACACAGTGAACCTTGAATCAAATTGATTACAGAACGGCCACACTGTTGCCACTCCTGTCAGCTAAATCCAAAAAATTTAGCTGGGTAAACTCATATTGGTCATCAAAATTAGACCATATAGGAGGATTATCTGGTATGATCAGTCTCAATGTGTGCTGTGATGTGAAGGTCAGAATTTGCTGTGTGCAAGCTGCAACACTTGAAAGTAAAGATCTATCCTGCCTTGTATCAGTGGTTAAGGTTAGTGATGGTGGTTTAATGGGTGGAGTAATTTTTAAGGGGCATGTTTTAGGCCCCTTTTTCCCTTTTGAGATAAATTAATTGCTTTACATTGATCCTCATCCACAACGTACACATCCATGATGTGAATTTCTTATTCCACATCCCAATGGTGCTCTAATAGATGGATAACTGGTGACTAGAGGTTTTTTGTGTAAAGTGAACTCGCTGTTTTGTTTAGGAAAGCAGTTTGAGTTCATTGTGGTCATAAAGGGATGTACATGGTCAACAAAAATATTCTGGTAGTCTGTGGCTTTAAACAATTCTCAGAAGGAACAAAGGGGCCTAAATTCTGTCACAAAAATCATCCCACCCATTAAACCACCCTCACTAACCTCAACCACTGATATAAGACAGGATGGATCTATGCTTTCATGTTATACACACCAAATTCTGACCTTACCCTTTGAACATCACAGCAAAAATTGAGACGCATCATACCAAACGACCGTATGATGGTGCCGTTAAAAGGTGTGATACGTGGAGCGCAGACACTGTTAACAATTCTGTAGGTAATTAATAATAAAATGATACTAATACTGAAATGGTTACAGCATTTCAGATGTTTTACAATGTGCTCAGCCTGATGGTTTGTCCAGTTACACACATTTTTATCATCACATAACATTATAACAAAATCACTTGACTTTTTAATGCGCACACTGGAATTTGTTCTGTAAAAGTGTTTTCATCATAGTTTATGTGCATCTTTTCTTATCGAATAAAAAGTTCATTTGACTCAGTTACGCACATATGGTTTTTATGCACATTTTTAAAATTGATGCGCATTTTTGGTGTTTCCATCAATCATTTTTTTATGCGCATATTGTTACATTATTGCTATTGTTGTAAATGTATTTATTGTCAGTAGTGTGTCTAAAGAGGAGCGTTAAAAATATTTTTTTTGTTGTTTTATTTTAGTTGACAGTAAAATAAAAAAAATTACTGTTACTTGTCAATGCTCTGTTTACAACGACGCAAATGAAGCATCAATCGCGAGTGATTTACATGTTAAGTCAATGCAAAGATGCGAATAGACATCCAGTGGAGCAATGTGCGCAAATGAGGTGGCATAAATGAGGCTATTCATGCAAGTTAAGTGCGACAGGTTGAACGTTTTGCATGATTGACGCACTTAACGAGCGTATCGCGTGAATCGCTTAAGTTGGAATGACAGAACTTCCGCAGTCATTTGTGCGCCATTAACCAATCAGGAGCCTGCTCTTGTAGGGGCATGATTATGACATAGCGCCTGTTGTTAGTGTCCAAGGGGAAATCCTCTTGCCGACACCGGACAACAGTTCATCAAACTGGGCTCAGCTCAGTTGGAAGCACAGCTGAAAACTTCCATCATCCAGGTATAGTTTCTGAAGGGGTTTACAAGCTCACTAGATACAAAGGTACCTCAGAAATGATCTAGTGGACTGAGACACGGCTCCAAATGAATCAACGCTGTTTTTCAGCCTTCATTAAGCACATAAGCACAGCTATTCTCTCAATAAAATCCATTCTAGCCATTTAGCAACTAAGAGTCACCGGGCAGACAGAAGCCCTGCTCATGACGTATCTATTGTGAAGTGAATTTGATGCGCGAATGAAGATGATTTGCCTTTCGAATTAAGCGAATAAACTCAGAATGTTCAAGTGTCCATTTACATGTGAATAGCACGATTTATCTGTTCGTGCCACGTCTTGTGTGAACACAGCATGAATCTACCGTTAAAACAGCAAAGTTAAAGAGCCCATATTATACATGAAATAGGGTCATATCTTGGTTGTAAGGGTCTCCAACAACAGTCTAATATGCATGCAAAGTCAAAAAACACTTTCATGGTCTTATAATCTGCATTTATTTTTACCTAATTATCCCAGCGACTCCCGTATGAATCGTCCAGTGATTCATTTGTTCCCAAACCCCTCCTTAGCGCGAAGCTAATCTGCGCTGATTGGACCGATGACAGTCTGTCACGATTGGTCGACTGCCTTCAGTCAGAGAATGAAATGCCCAATAGCTAATCAGCAATATAAAAGTAATCACAGTTCATACACGCTCCATAGTGTAGGCGTGGATTTTAGCTGCCACACACACACACCTCTGGACGACAA